CTTCTTCTTCTTCTTCTTCTTCTTCTTCTTCTTCTTCTTCTTCTTCTTCTTCTTCTTCTTCTTCTTCTTCTTCTTCTTCTTCTTCTTCTTCTTCTCCTTCTTCTCTCTTTGGCCTAACATGGTCACATCTTAATACGTATACATTTCTTCTTCGCCCTATTGTTTAGGAACTTTAAATTGTGTTCATTTCCTTGCTTCCTTTAATGGCAATGTCCAAAATTAGCATGTGCATGATGCTAGTTGTATTGCTAGTCTAAATGGAATCACCACAAACCTAAACGTGGTACGGAGCTGCTCTCGGCACCCTCCTCGCATCCGCGCTAAACGCGTGGCACTTTCTTCTGTTTTTGCTTTGCCTTTTGGGAAGGTTTAGGGGCTGGCGAAAGTAGGTGGAGGACTGGTTGGACGACCACAACAAGTGGGCTAAGGAGAAGATGACCAAAGCGGCGGAGAGAGATGTGTGGGGATGGGAATAGTGGAGAAGAGCGTGGTGGCGGGGGTGAAGAAAGGGCTGGAAGAGGAGAGGGGGAGGATGCGGGAGGAGATGGAGGAGGAGATTGAGAAGCGGAAGGGAGAGTGAGTAGAGCAGGGGAGGATGGAGGCGAGGAAGAGACAGGCCGAGTGGGCCGAGCAAATGGAGGGGAAACTGAAGGAGTTGAGGGCACAGTTGGAGCAACTACAGAACACCGCGGCTGTAAGGCATATATACTATTCTGCACGCGAATCAACTGTTAGTTGATTATTATGTAAGGACGGGGCTCCGCACCACCCTGCGATCACAATCAAAATGGGTACAAATAATCAACCAACAGTTGATTCGCGTGCAGAATAGTATATATGCCTTACAGCCGCCCTGCTGATGAGATGGTTTTCTTTTGCTTTTCCTTTGATTTGCTTTCTAGTTCTTCTTTTCTTTTCTTTTGTTTTCTCTACATCCTACTTCCATTGTTCTTACAGGCCGCTTTACCCCAACTCTCTGTGGTGAGGCATGGGATTACATACCTAAGTGAGGGCTACGAGGTGTGATGCGAACAGGGTAAATCCTATAAATTCTAATAAACATCTCTTTAGAGCCTTAATTATAATTTTTCTGTCAAAAAATTTGATTAACAGCTCTACACCGCCTCGACCTGTAATATTTCGCTGAGAATTTTTTTCTTAAAAGCTCTCCACCGCTTTGGTTTTGTGCATGGATTGGAATATGTGGGCTCTCTTCTCTCTTCTCTAATCATGTACATATCATACATTGGTAGTTACATAGGTAGTTAGAACCCAGTACTTACCGTGCAATTCTGCTCCAGGCTGTGATCTGCCAGGTACGTAAAAGGAAAGTGGGTTGTGTCTGAAATTTTGTGGACCTGGTTTTTGACCCAACGTCATACCTTTTACGCTGACCAACAAGGCAGGAAAGATATGATTGGAGGTTAATGCAGAATGCTTTTGGCGCCACTTTAGGCAGGAGATCTTCACAATTTGGCCTACATTATCGCTTCATCGTCCAGCACGAGAAAAGAGGTGCTGTATGTTCGGAAGGGCGTTAGCTTGGTGCTGTTTGAGGTATTGCTAGATCGCGTCGGCACCGTCATATGCGCATTCAAATAAGGAGGGACATCCGGTCCAACAATCTAGTCCTAGTGCATCGGCGCAGTGCTTTCATTCTTGTTCATTGCGAGAGTGTTTACTGCAGCTTTTAACGTAGCTTAGAGCTCGCATATCAAGCCTTGTGCAGAAAAGAACATTCAGAAGTTTCATAATTCCTTCTGCGCTTAGTTAACTTAGCCTATCCTAAAAAATATGGTTCAGCTACGCACAGGCTGGGACTTCAATTTCTCGTACTAGTAGGTTGTTAACGGCCTCATCAGCGTTTCTTAAATGTCTAAGTAGTACCTACAGGTTCTTGTGCTTTATTAACTGAGAAATTTCGATTGCTTGACCAGTTAGATATGCTGGTTACACTAGCACTGTGGAAGCAAAACTAGTCAGGGAAGAAAGATGAACATGTACCAAGCTAGTGACATCAGGAAGCTCTAACTTACAACACACTACCGAAGAGTTGAATATTGCCAATTTCCATTACATCCAATGCTGTATCTGAACCATGTTCGCATGCATCCACGCAGTGTACCAATGGCCTCCAAGGCTTGAGCCTGTCTAACGTCCCACCATGACTCACCACATGGTATGCGCCAGCCGCTCGGTATTGTGACCACAGTCTCCGGAATGTGTAGACTGGATGAATTGAACAATATAGCAATATGCAGGACGGTATATTGTCAGCTTCAGGCAAAATGAGGTCGTAGGAATGTGACTTCGCAAATGGAGCAACGAAAGAAAAGAATGGAAAGACACCAAAGTCACAAAGATGGCCCATCACGAGCAACAAAATTCTAGAGTGGGCTACTGCTAGGATATTAGTCTAATTCCGGGGCCACTCGTGACCTAGTCTCGACCTAGACTAGTGGGGATGTAGTAAGTGCTCAGAACACGCTCAGGCACGCTCAGGCTTGCTGAATTGGGCTTAGGTTTGGCATATCCACGCCTCAGGGCGAAGTGTATTATTTAGCTATCTGACTGCGAGAGGTGAGGGGGCAAAGTAGGTTTTGTAACATAGCTGGGTAAGCTTATCGTACAACTAGCGCGATGTTTGCTTGGGCTATCTGTCGCCGTAAAGGGCGGCATATGCCTCCGATATTACCGAGCATTGTTGGTGTTGTGGACATTACCACATGCAGCATGTGTTGTGATAGCCGGTCTTGCCCTCCCCCTTGCCTTCAATTCGGTCTCTAAAAGTTACTTCATCCTTGTCTGATCCCCAGGTATGCGATAGAATCGCATAAGGGGGAATGTTTTTGCCAATATATTCGACGAGGCTGAAGTCGCTGTCGTTTTGGAACTGCAAAAGACGCATAGAGAAGGGACTATTTAGTAGCTCTGGTGATAGAGATAGTCTACTAGATGTGTAGGAGACGTACGCGGGTTAAGTAGCTGAAGAACTACCGGCCATAGGTGTATATGTTGAGTAGAGTGAATGAACAAGCTAGAAATAGCCAGCTAAGCAGCTGTTTCAATAGGTTAGCTTTCCCGTGGATAGGCCCATCAGTTTAATTAGCCGTTTTTTAAAGAGTGCCAAATGTAATTTAATAAAAGCTGTGGCCGCCGTACAGCGAGGATAGCCGACCGCACCTACCCTAGATGTGTGAGGTAGTGAATTCTGTAGCTGTTTTTAGAGAGTTATCTTGGTCGACCAGAGGCATGGCCAAGGTTGAGTTGGATCAGAGAGCTGCGGGCTGAGATCGGGCCCCTTGCCAAGTCTCTGCACAGCCATGCGCTAGACAGCCACAAGCTTGGATCACTTGATGACGTAAGTGAATTACATCATAATAATTGTGGAGGGTGAATGGGGTTCTTTCGTACTAGCTATGATTGGTAACTGCTTTAAGCAGAAGTACCAACTAGGGTTGCAACCTTGCATACGGATTAGATTTGCATGCGACAGCAGGGACAAAGCTGATGATGACTTCCTACCATTGTAATAAGGCTTTAAGGCCCAGATACGACCCTTGTAGTTCTGTAACAAAGAGACATTGTTTCACCATAAACGAAGGTTCTAAGCGAACTAAGCAAGAAGTCAACGATGTAAATGTAATATTTAGGTTAGAAAGGTCCCATATGTTTGAAAGTAGCCACAGCACACTACTGATACATAATTCTAGTAAAGCTGCGTAGAGTCAAAGTCACTTGGAGACAAAGTCACTTGAAGTCAAAGTGCCCCTCATATTTTCCGGCACAGTTGGTTTTCCGCTACGCCGCATGGATAAACGTTATGGATAATGATTGCCCAAAGCTTCAACCAATATCTTTGCACCGCTATGGCGAGGTCCGGGTGACTCAGCCAATTGCAGCCCTGCTGACCATCAGACACACAACAACAACATTTGATAGCAAAATTTGCGCAATATCCTCGAAATATGAATGATCTTGAATTATTTACTTGCCGTGCCCGATATTATCCAACCTAAACGCCCTGTCGCAACCATGCAAGCAGCAATGTTGCTCAACATGCCCCACTCTTTGTGCTCCGTAGTGACGTACCAGATAGGAGATAACAAGGCACCTGTTGTTTAAGATAGCAGTCTGCATCCTATTAACCGCATCTGGAATTCCACAAAGAGTCTTAAAAAGCTCAACCTTCCTTCTCAGTGTTCCGAAGGACACGCCAACATGGCCACAGCTCAACCCAACGTTGAGCACTTGATACCTAGCCGATGTCATGGAAAGAAAGCAGAAGGATCGCTAAAGCTCCTTTCAACCCGACTCGGCGCCATCGTACACTCTGTACCCAAACTACTTGGCGGCCGTTTCATCCCATCCTTGCACGTGACTTTCAGCCGATCCCTCAACCTCTCCAACATTTCAGCCTCTTCAGGACTGAGCGACAAATCGGTCGGTAAAGAAACATTTTTCCCGGAGATATAGATTTCCTTAGGTTTCTCACACTCCAAGCCTTCAATATGATTACCCTCCAATCCGCCCTTTTCATCTTGTAGTACCTGGATATCAGACCCCGGCAGCTCCACCGGCGTCCACCAATACACCGGAAACTGCCGTTGAATATTATTCGTTCCTAGCCCTACTAGCACTAACAACACCGTCCCTAGCATAACAAGCGGCACAAAGTACCACCCCATATCTGTGATCTGCGGGTCAGTGGCAGCAAGTACAGCAGAAGCACCACCAGGCGGATGAACGGTGCCAGTGAGCAACATGACGGTGGAAGCTACACCACAGTTGACGGCACCAGCGAGCCATCGAATGCGTTCAAAATCCGGATGGAGGAGGAAGAGCTTTGTAATCCCCACGCCGACAAGGGCAGAGAAGGTGTGCCCGAGAAGAGCGTTTCGGGGTTGGCCAAACGGGGAGCGGATGGCGTTGTATTCGAGGATGGCGGATGCTCCCTTTGTGATACCTGTTAGCAAAGGCCGGCCCGAGCTAACAGGAATAGAGGCTATGGAAGTAAGTATGGACGGACATACAAACGACGCGATCATAACAGGAGGATGATGTGCCTGGATGGACGACAGGTTGTTGAAGACAGCAGCTATCATCGCTAACCCACAAAACGCTCCAACGCACGACCACCAAGCCGCAAGAACATTGCCAACATCCTCCTGCTGTTCCTTCCTGTATCCCAAGAACTTTGATATAGGAGTCGGCAATCGGTGCAAGGGAGATGGTGGCAAATATCGATTGATATAAGAATCCACATCAAAATTCCATTCCTTGGCTCTTTCCAAAATCCAAAATGCCATCTCGAAACGCAATATAACGAAAAAACAAATCCGAAAAGATTAGTATTGCATCTAGCACTAAAACCCGACAGACAAGGGAGGGCCCAAATATAACGAAAGTAAACCCACAGGATCGACAGCACTTGATCAAAAACATCTCGCGACTTTCTGCTTTGTAATATCAAACTCCCAAATCCCAAAAAGCCTCCATTACCCATCGCATAGGGCTCCATACAACCCCCCTTCCCGATTCCCAAGCCTATGATGCCGCACGGACAGTCCGTCTGCCATCCGCCGCACGCTGACCAAATAGCAGTTTTCGTAACGTAACAATTAGGTACACACTTCCCTTCATACGATCCTGAATTCTACATTTCCTCGGGCACCGCGGGATGAGTATCTCTATCGTTAGGAGGAGCGTGTGTCGGTATAGATAGCCGGTGTCACAGTTCGGGAACACGTGGTCCAAAACCTGTTCCTTGACAGGGTGCTGCCATTTGGTTGGTGGCGATGGACTTGGAGAAGCGGGAGATTGTCACGATCTTTGGTGTGAAGAGGAAATCAGGTGTCACGAAGGCTGGCGAGCTGAAATTCGTCAGAATTGTGTTTGCGCTTGCAATGTAGCGCGTTGATGGAGCGGATCCAGTGGAGGAGTGCTTGAGCCACCATGATGCTTGGCACTTTGCCCACATTCGGCGTCTGGGCATGTTTGCCAAACAGAGCATCGAGATCTATAATTACGATATAAGTCTTCAAGCCCTAAGGTTTCTTCCTTAGCCAAGCGAGAAGGTTAGCATATTGGTATCCTTGCTAGTGTTATTCCGTAAGACAGTCAACATCCATGATAGGTGGAGCGTCAATCGAATGATGACGAGCGAGCGAGGATGTGAATTTGTACATGGCGTGATTTCAGAACGTCACCTATAGGATCTATCTACCATCTTCTTGCTCGTGTACCCGTCACATACATGCGGCAGAACGCGACAAGCCTAGTCGAACGATTTTGATCATTCTAACCGTTCTGCTGCAGGTTCTCGACATGTAGAGTAAAGACTGAATCACGGAAATGACACACACCTCCCTTCCCCTCAAATCATGGACTCATGATCCGTGCCTGAAGTCAATATAACGCCATAACCCTCGCACAATCGACAATGAAATGCATCTGTATCGCCCTCTATTGACCCGATGCAGACATTCAGTTCTCATTTCGCTCTTTGCTCTTCAAGTACCGCGGAACAGGAATTGTAAGTCTTCTGGACTCAAGCGGTCCATTGCAACTTTGTCGTTGTTGACAGTTCCAGCGATCATAGCTGCCTTCTTCTCCTGCAATGCAACCATACGAGACTCAACGCTGTCCTCAATGCAGAGACGAGTGATCACGCATGGACGCTTCTGACCGATACGGTGGCAACGATCCGCAGACTGCCATTCAGCCGCTGGGTTCCACCATCTGTAATGATGTTAGCAATGTCATCAAGGAAGGCACGGGAATACCTACGGGTCCACGATGAAGACTCTAGAAGCCTCCGTCAAGTTGAGCGCTACACCGCCAGCCTTAAGAGACACGAGGAAGACCTCGACATCAGGGTTGGTCATGAAAAACTCGATACTCTTCTGGCGCTGTGCAGGAGTCATACTACCGTCTAGCATAACCGTATTGAAGCCAGCACGGCGGAGGCGCCACTCTATGAGTTGCAACATTGATGTGAACTGACTGAAAACGATCGACTTAAGTGTCTGCTTCTTGCTACGAAGCTTGTACAGATCGTAGATAAGCATCTCGATTTTAGTTGAGGAAGTCCAATTCTCCATCTTGATGCGATTAATGATGGATGTCTTCTTGACCTGGTCTTCGTCCTGTTCAATTTCCGGCTGCTCAAAATCAATGGAAAGACAGATGTGGCAGCGAGGGCAGTCAGCATCGGTTCCAGACGCCTCGCAAGTTTCGATGAAGTCCTTGACACAAGCACGGCAGAACTCATGGTGGCAACGAGAGCGAACAGCATCTTCAGCAGGCTCATCGCAGATGTTGCAAACCAGAACGTTTTGACCGCCTTCAGCATTCTTCTTCAAAAGCAGATCCGGGTGGTTAGCAACCTGACGCATCTGCATGATAAGACCAAAGATATTGGCGTAGTTGTTAAGCATGACACCTTGAGCAACATATGTATCAAACTTGCGACTTGAATTCGTCATGATGGAGGAGGAGAAGTCCCGCTCGACTGCGCTGAAAAACTCATTGTGGATGACAATATCCTTCATGGGAAGTTCCTAATGGTTATCAGAACTAGTTCTAAAGGAGCGCGCCCAGACACGCTTACCATTGAATTTGTATGATCGCGCTTCATGCGGCGGAGCATGATGCGAGCGGTGATCATATGAAGCTTCGTAAGGGCATCCTCGCGGTCCTCTGGATCGTCACCTGTGATTGGGTTGAGTAACTCCTGGTTGAATACAGAAATGTGCTCAGAGCCGCCATGGTCGCAAGAAGTACACATGTGATCCTCATCGACTGTCCAGTGAAGCTGCTCGCAATCGCAGGATCGACAAAAATAGTCGGCGAAGGGACGGACTTCGAGGAAGCGTAGCAGAGAAAAGAATTCTCCAATTCGATTCTGCACCGGCGTTCCAGACAAGCACCACTTGTAGTTGCCCTTTAAAGCAAAGCAAGCCTTGGCCACACCAGTAGTACGTGATTTGATACTGTGTGCCTCATCAAGGATGAGACGATGGTAAGTGATGGCGTGAAGAGGCGATGCCTCCTTGACAATGTTTTCGCCGCGAGACCACCCTTTAGTTTCCTTCCGGTGCAAAGACTCTAAACTGTTGTAGGAGACCATGATTACGTCGTGCTTCTTCAGATCTTTGACGGTCATCTTCTTGCACTGAGCATTGGTACCGTGATAGACAAGGACTTTAAGCTTGCCATCCGTGTACTCGCGAATCTCGTTAGACCATTGCATGAGAGCGACAGGGGGTACGACAACGAGTGTTGGTTGCTTGGCGGGATAATCGGACATGATGAGAGATACTGCTTGGATCGTCTTTCCCATACCTTGAGATATATTAGCAAAACGGAATGAGAATTTAGAGAGGGGCTGCATACCCATCTCGTCTCCAAGTAATCCTCCCTTGTAGCCGGTCTTCTCTTGTCTCGTCATCCAGCTCAGGCCCTCTAGCTGGAAAGGTTTCAGCCTCCGTGTAATTGATGCCGGCTGCTCAGCCTTTTGGACACTAAGAACGGGGATAGCTCCAAGATCGTCCCACATAGTAAGAAGTTTTGGGTGAGACTCTTCAGCTCGCTCTCGGTTCATGGCCCTCTTTCGCTCCCATTTATCTTCGATATGTGCGAACTTAGAGGCGCGTTCGGCATTCTTTATCTTTTTCGATCTCCGCTCTGCCCAGGTCAGCTTCTTGCTCCCCTTAGACCCCTTTGATTTGGCAGGCGCAGGTCGCGCAACTGGTTTCGCTCTGCCCATGAGCGGAACATCGTCATCGCTGTCGCTGTCGCACACAAGCTCAACAACATCATCGGCGTCGTCCAAATCGAGGTCCTCGTCTTCAAGCTTGAACTCATCCTCGGAATCTGCGATGCCGTCGTCGAAGTCATCACCACGAAATTTAGTGTTGGCACGCTTCGCACTCGAACGAGCTGATCGGCTTCGGCCGCCTGGCGGATCAACGACTTTCGCTTTGCCCTTGCCTTTGTACGGAGTCTTCGGTGGCGGGTGGTCGAGCTCGTTATCCGAGTCGAGGGTGAAACCGGTCTTCTGTCGCTTGGTGCTTCCTGTGGCATACTCCTCTTCCTGGAGCTGCCTCGCAAGTTGGGCGTCAGAAGACATGTCCATAGCATCTTCGTCCAACTCCTCATCAGAATCCGCGATAACGAGACGTGATCGCTTCCGAGAACTGGATGCATTGAGGGTCGCTTTCAGCGCCTCGCTAAGGCCACTCCTGCGAGTGGATCTCCCGCCGCGTCGGATGGAGACTGCAGGAGTGGTGGACAAACTTGTACCGGGAGTCTCGTAATCGGAGTTGTCGAACGAGGGCGAGCCGATGGAGCTGGCTTGATCGCCCTGGAAGCCATTTGCGACAGGGAGTCTCGAGCGAGGACCCACTGCCTTTTTCTTGGGAGCCATTGCGACGATTGAGACCTCTTTTAGCACCCGTCGAACCGATGCAGAAGACTGTTCTAATGGTAATACGTCTATTGTATCGTCTTCGTTGTTAGAGGAATCGCATACAAATGTACGGGAAGAACGAGTGCGGCTGGTGTGAGCGCGAGGGTTTTTGGACGCTTTACCCCACGTCACCGGCTGATCGATTGAGGCTGTGAAAGATTAGCGAAATCCATGATTGGGAGAGAAGATTGGGGGGGGAGGCGCGAAGGGGAAAGTGAAGTGAATGCGAACGTACACGACTGTTGACCGGGTACCGCGGCTGAAGAGGCGGCTGGCTCGTTGGTACTAAGACGTGATCCACGAACACTCCGGCGCACCATTGTTCACGTTGGATGCGGGGTTCAACAATCGTAATAAAAGTGCATGTAGACCAAAAGCAATTGTGGGAGAAAGCGACAGAAGGATGGAAGGCAGTTGATGGAAACGGGGAACGAAGAGGGGGGAAAAGAAAAGATGGAACTAGCCTGTGGTGGTGAATGAAGCGCAGGATAATCGGCCCCTGACTCTCGCGTACGGACTGATAGGCCAGCGTCGAATTGTTCGCGCGTTCACGCTGTCAGTGGCAAAACTTATCGCACAGTTAAGGACAAGGGAAAGCAAATCAAAGGTTTTGTGCGAAGGGTAACTGAAGAAAAATGTGCGGGTCATGCACAGTTGGCTCCTCTGCATCGTGCGGGGGTGTCAAACGGATTAGGGCTCGCGCTCGCCAGGCAGCCACGTAAGCACGTGACCACTTTAGATACAGCGCGAAAGACTGGATTTCCAGAGAAAAGAGATCGCACATACATTGCAAGCCTTTCACTTGATTCTTAGGATGTCATATTTGTGTCAGATATTGATATACATTCAACTGTTAACTCGAGAGCCCATGCTGTTCCTAGCTTCACCAGGCCATTTTATCCTTAGCGCCATTTGCGAACCTTTGGGCATATTATAACTCGTGGTAAATGTATCCTCCACCTTCGAACCGTTTGAGTTTCCTCTATATAGTGATTTCCACTGCCCCTTCCTCGCCATCCTTGAATATCGAGCTGAACTGCCCTCTATCGCTCGCTCCTACTGGGACCCATGGACGAAGAAATTTCTCACCCTGATGTCCTCGTCACGAACTCCCTACCTCATGTCGAAACTAAAGGCAAAGATGGCAGTCAGAAAGCACATGAGTAGTAAATGAATGGATTCCGTGTATTCATATCTTGGGTATCAAGACCTTATTCAACATCTCGCTCTATCTTTATCTGTATCTCTACATCTAATGATAAGCTCGGCCATGAACTGTGTAAGACTGTTATACTAGTACTCTTGAGGCGGAGTGCATATTCCTCTTGTTGACTCACTCTGAGAGAATGTGAGGGGTAGGTACAGAGAAAGAGTAGGACAAGTAGGCTGGACTCTAGTGAAATATTTAGTCAAAATTATAGAATCCTAACCTAACTTTCCACTTTCGAGAGTTTCTACGATGAATAGGGGAGATTCTACAACGTGAGTTATCGAGATAATGCGCTCTGCCCCTCTTACCAAAAGCAGCCAGGAGTTGAGAAATTGATACCTCTGACCATCAGTCTTAGTCAGGTTGTGAAGTGAAGGAACGATATGCAAATGTGAGACTGGAGATGAAGCGTGAGCAACTATGGCAGAGGAAGGAGCCTTTTAAGCGATGAAAATGGGACGTGGCCAAACATTATTGGGGAAGCTTGCAGGAAGGACGTGCGGGACACTTAAAACCCTAAAGAGGACTTATTAGCAAAGATAAGACTGATACCAAGGCATCCGCACGAAATAGGGCAGCAATCGCCCAGCTGTGCTTCAGCTGGGTGTAAGCGCTCCCAGAATTTTGCTGATATTGAACTGACAGTGGAGACTTAACGTGGATACGTATGATATTACGGAAGCTGGGAATGGAGGACAGCGAGATGAAGATCTAGAGAGAGATCGAGGTACATACTTACATTAATGCCTGATAAAGTTCGATGAAAGAGCCTTGAATTTCTGAGGATATCGCACACTGAAAATCCAGATGCATCCACAGAAAATGATACTTGAACGAAACACCTACCGTTCTCTTAAGTCCTATCACTCTATACACAGCTCAACCCAACTTCCATCTACCATCTCGAACGACAAACGGACGATGAAACCCGGGTACACAATCCTCGCATCGAACTCCCAATTTGGTCTTCCCAGAATAAATGTACAGATGGGGGCCAATTGAAACATTATCAGGCCGAGCTCCATTTACCGGGCGTATGTAAAGTCACTCGGAGGAGCAGAATCCGCCGTGGATGAAAAAAGACCCTGGGCATTTACGCCCCACGACTCGGGTCTCCCGGGTTCTATCTTGTGGAACACGTGCTGAAACCCCCATAATTCTTTCCTGCCATGGGGGCGCAATGGATGACTGACGCATTGCTCCTATGCGACAATTCTGATGTTCTAATTCGGGGTGAACATACATTTAACGTTTGTAGTCTTCGCCCTGGATTTTCAATCTTCGATCTTCGAGGTGGCAAACAGCATTGTGTATAGTGATGGTAACGGCAGCTTGCAGTTATACGTCGGACGCAGTGGGTTTTGCTGGACTTTATCGCCCCATGTTCCTTTATGCAGGGCTCGAACGAAATTTGGAATAGGAGATTTTGAGGATTATCGTGTTGTCTGCTCGTAATATCTGACACAACTATTAACACGAAACTCATTTCCGCCTTGCTCCGCCTGCTGTGCAACACGGGTCTACCAGGGCGCTCTCCTGCTCTTTTCCGTTTTCTCGCGCGAGAGATACTGCCGGTGCGACTGCAAAGGTTTTGCCCCCATCGAGTTTTACAAGGAATCTGAGGCAACCTCCCCCCGTTAGACTAAATCATTAAGCCGACAAGTATCGTGGGTCTTCAGTATTATAGCGATGCAAAAAGTCATCAAAAGAAGCAAAAAGGTATCGTGCGAATGAAAGCAAAGTCGAGCGAAGCCGTACAACCACCAACACCAGTCCCTCATATGCTACCAAATCCTGCCGCCCTGAAACTCCTTCTATGTCATTCGAGGATCATTTCTGTCTGGCATCTCCAGCGCATGGGTTTCCACGTGCAGCTCCTGAGGCGTCTGATCGACTGCAGCATACTTTTGTGGAGCTTGATCGGAGTATCGCGCTTGAGAGTCCGAGCCGCTATCCATCTCATGAGTAGGTAGCTGGTCCACCAAAGCTGGATATATGGTATTCTTCTTATGCGCTCGTCTTCTCCAAATAAATATAAATGCGCCAATCAGGGCAAGGACGCCAACAGGAACAGCAACACCAATACCAACTTTGGCCCCTGTCGAGAGACCTGAAGCTGGCGGCGGAGAGGCTGTTGGTTTGTTGGTTTCGCCAGCTCCCCCACTCGGCGCGGTGGAATTCGGTTTGGTGCTGTTCAAGATAGACCAATGCCCATCCCAACTCTGCTTGAATAGATCGTCGCCAGTGAACCCTTCGATCATGGTTTGGTCATTTGCAATCGCCGTATTGGAATCGCCTAGTCCACTATTTGAAATACCAGGTCCAGGAGCTTGAGCCAGCCAGGTCGTTTTCGTGCCCCAGTTGCGTCCGATGAAAGCAGCTTGTAGGAAAGCACGTCCGAGTCGAGGGATATTGCCATGATAAGGGTTGCAAGGAAAGTACTGCGTTGGCTTGGCTGTGATAGGCGAATCAAGTGTGAGGTTGAGGAGGGCAAAGGGGACTTTGATGACTACATTGTCTTTGTTTCCTGGGGCAGGTGGAAAAGTAAAGCTTAAATATGCTGGTGAGGTGACAATCTCTTTGTATTTGGGGTCGCTCGTATTCCAGGTGTAGTACTTGACCGTGTTGTCATATTTTATTGGGAGGATGTTCGCAAGTCCTTCGCAAGTGTTATCGGGAAGAGATAGGTAAGGCGTGAGTGGATCGACCTGTACTTTCATTCGACCGACCTGGCCTGAGTCGTTAAGCAGTAAGCCCGGTTTGCTGTCAAATCCAAACGGAGAGCTTCCGAACTCAACTCCAATGGCGATATCCAGTAAATCTACAATGCTTTCACCTGAAAAAGATGTAACAGGCCCAATGACTCTACCTTTGTTGTACCCTCCAAACTGCAGTGAGCCTGGATAATCGAATGCCGCAGAACCAATATGAAGTCCGTATGAATTGGATGGTGTTTCATTATCCATGTATAGCTTGCTTGGGAAGAAATTTGTTGTGATATTCTGGCCCGCATCTTTGTCGGACTTGCTCCAGACCTGCTCCGGGTCGGGAGCGCCAAGAGCCAAATGCCCTAGGACCATACCTCCCATCTTGCCATTGGGATATGTGATATTTCCATAAGGTATGTTTCCTAGAGAAGCATTCCACACAGTCTTGGAAGCAATAGTAAGGGCTCGTGGCACATTTGTATAACTTGCTGCCTGTATCCCATAAGAGTCGTCAATGTACTTGTCGGTCCATTCGATTTGCTTAAGGGAAGGAGGGTCAGGATTCCAAGTTCCTCCAGCTCCGCATATAGAGTTCTTGTAAGGATCGCATGCTTCTTTCGCGAAGGTGAATGTTGTCCACGAACCTCCAGGGTAGACATCTAAATCGGCGTGGTTCTGGGCTCCAATAGTCAGGGTAGAATCATTGCCTCCAACGGTAATTTTGACGGCTTGCCATGGTCCATCTGGTCCGTACGATTTTGTGCTCCATGGGACGACGAAATTCTGGGCTGCATTCGCCGTATATGCCAATAGCAGTGGGCTACAATATAGAGGGAGTTTTGCTAGCGTGCCCATGTGTTTGGTAAAAGAGGTGGCTTATGGAATATAAATAACGTAGTTGAAGCAAGAGAAAGATTAAGAGGAAGTGATGTACAAAAATGTTACAGTGGAACAAATGTGAAGATTCCTGGAGAGGAAGGATTGAGAAGTAAGGAGAGCGAGAAGAGCGAATGGGCAGTCCAGGGCCACGGTAAGGCCCCACGAGTGGGCCATGCTATGTCTGCTGTGCCGCAGAGGATTGCTAAAACTACATTTCAGAAGGATGAGAGTAATCTCAAGGGTGAAGAGCATGCATCTGGGCCAGGAGAGTGCATCTGACGGACGTACCAATAAGGTGTGCGCTGGAACAGCCTCTGACTGAAGAACGGCGGAGGATCATCCCGCCTGAGTGGTCCGGGCGTTGATTTCAAGCTCCTATTCTTGGCAAATGGCGCGAAAATCGGGTTGGCTTTTGGTGTTCGTTTGGCTGCTGCACCGGAAGCCATGCCTTTGTTAGCCGCCGGGGGTCGTATTCCTGATAAGGCGGGCTACCAGGTTCTGTGCGAGATATACAACCTTGACGCCTGGCTGTGCCCCGAACTGCATCAGCCTCCCTGTCACCTCGTTATGGGGGCCATTACGTGGTCATCTCACCGCGCCTCTGCCACCATCCGTCCTCAATAATTACGCCTCGCAACTGGCCTCATCGATACTACACGTCCGCAAGGTCTCGGTCACGGTGGTCGTGAACCATGTTGCCGCAATGGATATCAAGACACTCCTACTCTCCCGTACTGTCTTCTGACGATTCCGAAGCACCCCTCAAACCATCCATGAATTGGACCAACTGGCTCGCGCCGCGGAGGGTACGGACTGCCTTGGTTTTGGCTTTGCTTTTGGCTTTGGTCTTCGTTGTGTCGCGATTCTCCACGTTGCCCGAACGCCTCCATGGCTTCGTCCCCACGAACAACCAGACGAGCACTCCTTTCATGCAACAAGAGCAGTGTAACTGCTCCAGTCCAGAGCCGGAGCCAGTGAACACTGCCACAGAGCCCGCAGTGCGCTGGTCTGATTTCGCATATGTGCAATATGTGACGAACGAGAACTACCTCTGCAACTCCCTCATGATTCTCGAATCGTTGCACAGGCTCGGGGCCAAAGCAGACCGAATGATGATGTATCCGGAACATTGGCAACCCGATAATGGCAGCGATGCTAGTTACCCAAACAAGCTTCTGGCGCAAGCAAAGGACCTCTACGGCACTAAACTTGTGCCAATCAAAGTAAAGAAAGTTGAGAATTCGGATGACCCAACGTGGGAGGATAGTTACACGAAGTTGCTAGCTTTCAACCAGACGCAGTACAAACGTGTGATTTCCCTGGACTCGGACGCAACTGTTCGTCAAGTAAGCAACTGAGCTCTGCTATCAGAACTAGAATGATAGACTGACACCTTAGTTTAGCACATGGACGAGCTCTTCCTCCTACCCTCCGCTCCCGTCGCTATGCCCCGCGCTTACTGGATGGACCATTTCTTCCTTTCGAGCCAACTCATCGTCATCGAGCCGTCAGAATTCGAGTGGAAGCGAGTTGAGGATGCAATGAACCACCTCGAGGGCCACGATTACGATATGGATATACTGAACAAAATGTACGACAAGTCGTGCCTCGTCATACCACACCGAAGATACGACCTGTTGACAGGGGAGTTCAAGGGGACTAGCCATGAAAATTATCTGGGTTCGAAGGAGCCGTGGGATGCGCGGAAAGCGCTCGAAGAAGCGAAGTTCGTCCATTTCTCGGACTGGCCACTGCCGAAACCGTGGCTCAAGCCTAAGCCCGATGTTTGGGAGAAGCACCAGCCGAAGTGTGTAGGAGAGGGAGAACAGCAGGATTGCTCAGGTCGCGATGTTTGGCTTCAGATTCGGGACGACTTTTCCGAACGACGGCAGGTAGGCGAATCGTTTGATGTGAAATGATACGCCAGGTTAACCTTCTCCAGCGAATATGCGGACATAAGTGGGATAACGCGCAGAACGAACGTCGGTCGAGTGTTCCTAGAACACCACAACGTCTAAAGTACGAACCGGTATTTTCGTAGTCGGCGTATATGGTATACATTTAGAAAAAAGAATACCTCAAAAGACGATATCATCTCCTAATATGTATTCGAGATAGCTCAGGGTCGACAAACGCGACACGGTCAATTACCTAGGACTGTATCAGGCTTCCAACTAGGGAAACACAAGACGGACGCATTATTGGCGTTTTGATTTGGGAGATGCGCCTTCGGATGAAGGCATAATGTGAATGAACATGTAGTTGGGATTGGAATTGGGCTTCAGCTCTGGTGTCGGGGCTTCTTTTCGGGGCGTATTGTATGATACCTGTTGACTCCATCTATCAGCAGAGACGTCAGTTGATTACACTAGGAACATACCCTGTTTGCATTTGCTTGAATAAGCTGCCATGAATGTGTAGCAGTGCTTGGTGGCTAGTGAACGTGAAGAGAACGTGAATAGTGAGTACGAAGGTGAATCTGTTAAAGGGCGCTAAGATTCCAAAGCTTAATATCTCAAAGATTAGTTAGCCTACGTGTAGTCTCACTGATCATCTCATTGGATTTTGCTAAAGCGACTTGGTGCAACCTATCGCATTCCTGATTAGTCCGCATGCATCCAATCCATGCCGGACCCCCAGACACGAGAATCGTCAAAATCGATTCCTTCACCGGAGCTGCGCAGTGCACAACATCCGGATTGTCCAAAGGCCGAAGGAACAGAACGGAGAGGATGCTAATCCGTGAACATAGGTGGCTTCCGATGATGGCAAACAGTTGTTGGGGCTATTTCTTCGGCAAACTACCCCAAGCGAAAAAAGCTTGGCTCCATACGCACTGGGTCATCCAGTGCGTCGATTACTACATTCCTATGTTGGAACTGCTTATAATTGGAAAATTTTATGATTTCAAGCTCTGGGGGTAGGAGAAATGCTCAATTTGCTCCTAAATTCCCCAGTGTTGTACTTGTAAAGACGACACACATCTCTCCACTAAATTCAACAGCTTTACTAATCCAAAAGAGAGGCAATCCAAGTGCCGACACTCAAGGATCCGCATTCCATAACGGCCTCGCCGTGAATGCAATCCCCTGCTTCGTAAACGCTTTACACGCACCCACACTCTCTGGCCCTATCGTCGCCATCACACCCCCTGAGCAATCCACATTATCATAAATTAGGAACTCCCATCCTTTTCCTGGGGCCTCAACTCTCAAGGATCCGAACGTTTCCCAGACAGGGACGGAGACTGGCCAACGGAAAGCCCAACATTTGAGGGGAGTTCCTCCCCCGGTGATAGTCGGGCTGGACGAGCATGTTGCGCCGGAAGGGGCGCTGTTGGCAGGGCATGTTGCAGTGTTGGATGAGTAGCAAGATGTGTTGCCATAGGAGAGAGCCCAGCTGATGTCGGAGGGCATTTGTATTGGGCTGTTAGTTGTAGGAATGGTTGGTGGGCCTGCGAGGTCTGAGAGTAGGTGGCCGTTGTAGTTTTTGATGTGATCGTCTGGGGGAGTGGATTAGATATATTTCCTAGCATGCGGATTGGAGAGGTGTACCGAGATTGAGAGTAGTGTTCTCTTTCGCATTCCATGAATGATTACACATACAGTTTAGTGTAGCTCCATTAATGATCTGGCAGTTTGAACAGGAGTTTGCGTAGGCTCCGTCTATTTTCCACTGCACGTTGTCAATCACTGTTCTCAGAAATGTTGGAACGGGGCGTGTACTCCGAGGTAAGCTTCTGCGTTGGTGATCTTGTTGGAGAGATAAACGGTGCTTTGAATTCGTGTCGTCGCATCCACGCCAGTAAGGCAGTTCGCAACGAGCCACGGACCTCTTAACTCAATGTTGGAGCACTCCTTGCTGAAGCTAGTGGCCGTTGGAACAGCACTAACGAGCGCCGCGCCGACGATCACGATAAGACCGAGGAACATTTTTGAGTGAGGCCGACTTGAGGTTGAGAGTGCGGATAAGCGTTGCAAGACGAATGCCCGTTTTTATATTTACAAAGCCATCGATGAATGGGTTCTTTTACTGTTTACGCATTAAGCCAGGGTGGTGTCACGTAATTTCCCTTGGATGTTGGCAGGGAAGATTCTCAGAAGGCCTGGTTCGTGGAACGTTTAAATGAAATCTCCTAAAGGAGGATGCCTTCGGAAATCCAACCTACCTGCCTAGACATAGTCAAGTCCGGTACGGTTACCCTCGTTTACCTTCTTTGAGCTCGCTACTGGACAAAACAAGCCAACATATTTCAAATGCTTCCTTGCGCAACGCCGAAATGTATTTGAAATCTCCGAATTTTGCCATTGAAACCATCTAGAATATGATCCTCCAACTGCACGATGGAGATTAATTTATGTAGAGTTCAAGGCCAGAAATCCTCGGTGCAGAGAAGATACGAGGGGAAAAAGGGAGAGCACTACTATGATTGATTGCCTGCCAAATAAATCCCGGCGTTGGAGCCGGATCCATGGTGGGCACATGCAAGCTCACAAAGACTTCCCGGCTAATGCTTGATAAATGGGGCAAGGGTGTGAGCACGAGGCGAGAATGCGGAACATCTTAGTGACTTCCATTTCCATCAATTGCCGCACAGAGCTCGTTAGAAGGGCTTCAATTGCCGACGGAATTTGAGTTATTGAGCCTTGACGGCTCAAGGACGCTCATTTCCAAATGACTTCGCTCTTGATTTGCTCAAGACGAACAGCAGCGGCGCAATCCGAGAGCTTTTTTTTTTTTTTTTGGCAAAGAGGAACAGAAAAGAATCTGTGTGTGAGGAGTTGTTATGACGCAAGCGGTGGAAACAAAACAATGCAGGACGAAGAAGAAATGAGCATTACAAGATTCAAAGGCAGGACGCTGTAACGGCCTTGTTTCCGGTTTCAAATTCCAATGACAATCTTCATTGCATCTTCAGAAGTCGAATGATAGACATGATACGCTTTGTTGCATGACGGCCGGTCGAGTTCTGCAAACTGAGCAGCAAATCGATGTAGTCGGTACGGTCCATAGCTCCTACAGGTTCATCAAGCTGATGGAGATATACTCATAAGAGAGAGACAGGAGGAATGGCATCTTAAGGGAGGGCAAGCACCCAGTGAATAAACTAAGTTTGAGTGATGAAAGAGGAGAGGAATGGTGGACCAAAGGCAAGAAGGCTAACACGTGCTTGCGTAAATCCGCACGGGCCATTTGCCAAGAGAGGCGAGACATCGCTGGGTGAGGGACTTGAAGCAGGCACAACCCTCAACATCTGCAACACCATCATCAATCGCGCCTCCTAACGACCCCCTCACACTAGTTACGCCTGACCACACGAACTCATCTCGCGCATCGCCGTCCGATTCATTCTACCAAACCGCGGTCAACGATCGCAAGCCCGGGGTCGAGTGTACCTCAGATAAGCTACTCGCCTCCTCACCTCACATCGACCGACGTCCCAGCTACCCACCATGAAGCCCGTCGTATCTGCCATGAACGCATGGACATGGTATAGCATACCCTATTATCGAGGGTCGAGGAAGTCCGCTGACCAGGATTAGCATTGTCGTGTCTGTGTTCGCAATCGTCATCCTCTCCATCATCGGCGCCTTGTTCAAGGTACGCTCACCACTCCTAAGGGTCGCACCACCATACACTGTGTTGCATTAGAAAGGGAAATCTCAAAGGAGCTCTCTGGGTGGATTATATGTGGATGCTAACTGGAGTTCCTCTAGGCCAATAGCCACACGATGATGGGATCAGAGGATGATCCCAAGGATGGCGGTGCCGTAGCCGGAGCCGTCTTTGGCGCTGTGATTATATACGCTGTATGTCGAGCTCTACATTTTTGAGCCCATTTGTTAGCCTATTTATTAACCCAATTTAGGGTTTCTTCGTCTTCTGTGGAATCCAAGCCCTCCTCCACATGCGCGAAGCTCGACGCGGCGCGATAAGTCTATCATAGCCTCTTCCTACTCAACTGTCCATCCACAATCCATCCACCCACTCGGGGGCCTCCCTTACACCTTTGCTGAGCCAACCCATTCTCAACACAGCGTAGTAGGGATATTGTACTTCTTACTTAGAATATATGGCGTTTTGTTGGCTTGGTTCATCACCTTCGGCATGGCTTAGGATTCTGTAAATGTTCTTTCGGTTTATACAACATGCGCAAGCGACTATTCTGGAGCCTGAGTTGAAACAATCTGAATATGTGGAAACTATAAGGGTGTCAGTCCTGTGCAGTGGGCCTCGGCCTTATTCTCCATCTAGTGGAGGAAACTCCTAAATATATTCAATATTGCCCCAATCCTAAACGCCGGCAATGCACAACTCTTTGTCACTGAATACCCATGCCATCTTTCGTTGTCTCAATCAGATACAGGGTTTCCGTCTACCATCGTTCCCACTCAGGTTCTAGCGTCTTGCTCATATACGGACCATCCAGCCAGTAACCCAGCTTAGCATAGTAACTCCTGACTCCAACTCCCGAAATTACAGCAATCTTCTTGCTACCATGCTCTTCTCTCGCAATCCGCTCCGCCTCCTCCATTAACAAAGTTCCAAACCCCTGATGCTGGAATTTCTTAGGATCTCGAGCATGCACTGGAACTGCGGAACCATATACGTGAAGTTCGCGGACAAGGGATGTGGGTTGAGATGTCAACTCCGGTCGGAACGTATGTTCTTTGCTGCATTGTCGAAGACGGAGAAGAGCGATGAGGATATCCTGCTTGGGATCTTCGTATGCAAGGAACGTTTCCCAGCCACCGTTTGCCGTGTAGTCTCGCCGGACTAGTTCAACCTGGTCTGGTCGAATCTTGTGCTTCACTTCATTGATACCGACTTCTCGTGTCCGGACGTCTCGGCATGATGTGCCAAAGTCCTTCATCCTTGCCAATGCCAGCTCTCTAAGATTTCCGTTTTCGACTCCAGACGTAACGAGTGGCATTGGGATATCTCGCTGCACACGGTAGATGCGAGTCCATGGCGGCACTAACGCAAGGATTCGGGCAACAAGATCGATCAGTGCGTTTGGGGTGTAATTCTTATATCGACCTGTCCGCCAAAGTTCGTAAAGTCCAGTTCCGCGAATCACGAGAGTGGGGTATATCTTCAGTCCGTCGGTTCGGAAATCGGGGTTAGAGAAATATTCCACGAACTGGTCTAAATCGCGCTCCATGCCTACGTTAGGCAGATCAGGCATCATGTGGCTCACTACCTTGAAGCCGGTGTCTTTTGAGAGACAGAATGTCTTTGCGACTGCGGCGACTGTGTGCCCACGATTTGTGTCTCGTGCTACATCTTCGTAGAGAGACTGTACACCTATCTCTAGACGTGTGCACCCATATCGCAGCATAGAGGAGAGGTGGGTGTCCAGGCAGTAGTCCGGCCGCGTTTCGATAGTAATACCAACGCATTTGATATTGCTCATCTCTCCTGCGGCAACGGCTTCATCGACATCTTTGGTCTGATATCCAGATAGTGCATTGTGTAGCTGTGAAATGAATTCTTCTCGGTATGAGTCTGGAAGCGACATGAATGTTCCACCCATGATGATGTACTCGACCTTGTCGACGCTGTGGCCGAGGGATTTAATCTGGTCTACTCGACCGCGAGCTTGCTCATATGGATCATAGCGGGCACGAATGGCTCGCATGGAGGTCGGCTCGTATCCTGTATAAGATTGCGTTGAGTATTCAAAGTCGGAGTCTGGCCCACCCGGACAGTAGACGCAAATGTTACCTGTGTAGGCTATGTGTGGACATCTGTGCGGTTTGCACATGACTGCCACTACGGCAATGCCAGACGAGGTTCCTATGCCAAGAGTCAGAATTATTTCCCTGAATTCCAGAAGAAGAAGCGAATCACGCATCAAAATAAAACTTACGGATAGGCTTTGCGATTAATTTTGGGAGTATGTATTTCTTATAATGCTCCGGTACTGCGGCGATGATCGCAGTAAGCGGTGGCTGACTTTTCAGGAAGTGTTTCTTAGAGATCTGTCCCCGTAGTGCATTCAAATTCAAATCTTTTTTTGGTTTCGAACCGTCAGCTTGCTCTTCATAGTCTTGAATGAGTGTATTGGCAATTTCAGCGCAGGCCCGCATGTATCGCTCATTTTCGGGAGCCAGCTTGACATTCTTAGGAAGACGGTTCTTCGAGCGTGTTTCTGTTAGTGTTACGGTCGCCATGTTAGTTTAGTTAGCCTCCAAAGGAATCTCGATGGCGGGCAAAGTCGAGGATCTTGTCTTTTAGAGTCAAACTTGGAAGGGTGGGAATTTCTAATGAAGCTAGAGCTCTTTCGGTTAGCTTCCACAGCGGCGAAATCAAACACCGACCTCCACTTTCAAGCCTTTGCTTCCCTTTTTCAATCGCCTTGTGGTTTAGAGCTTCACGAGCAATGTCTCGTGATGCGCATGATAGACCAAGTCTTGCCCTCCCATCATCGGAGAATAGATGAAGAAGTACGAGTTGATTTAGGAGTTTGTGTATGAAATGCTATTTCCTCCCGCAGACGGGAATCATAGCTTACCTAACTGTTTTCCTATTCCTATCTACTACCTACTACCTAGAGTCCCCGGTTCGGCTTCCGTAGGAAATCTCCAATAGCAGGTTTAGGCAGCACACACCACCCACCCTTTGCCCATTTATCCTCACCCAGTTTCTCGCCTCCATACACATATGCGTCAGCAACACCTGACCCAGTGACAACATCTTAAGACCTACCACCGCCCCCGCCGAATCACGCCCTAACCATGACCGACTGCGGCGACTTTGTAAACTCTGACGACGAAGAAGATGTCCAGGACCTCGAGGAGAATGCTGAACCGCTTTCACTGTACTTTCGGTAGCCATTCTACTATCCGATCTGCATTGGAAACGTCCTGGCTTAGAGATATCGCATCGAGCATAAACTCGGCCACGGCGGCTTCTCTACCGTCTGGATGGCCCATGACATTGTAAAAAAGAAGGTCTTTGCCCTCAAGATCACTACTCTTGCCAGAGATGCGGTAGACCGTGAAAGTACTATGCATAACGAAATCCGCCAGCGCTTCTGAGACACGTCTAAGCTTCTCCCGTCTTGCGAAGCCTTCTCGCTTCCTAGTCCCAACGGTCACCACAGAGTCCTGGTGTTTCCCCTGCGAGGCCCTAGTCTTCACTCCTGCTTCGCCAGCATGTCCATGGCCAATCGAATGTCCGCGGCGAAGCAGGTGCTACAGACTTTGAAATCCCTGCACGACGCCAACATCGTCCATCAAGGTCCGTTTATAACTGCACCCTCCCTCCCTTATCTCCTTTGCGCTTACAATCTATATATAGATCTGAACGACAGAAACATTATGTGCGGCATCGCCCCCCTTGACACCTATGACGTCAAGATGAAATACCAGTACCTCGGCCGGCCTAAAAAGATCCCCCTGCAAACTCCGGCAGGGATGCAGGGAGAGCTCGTTAGGCCCATAGTAGTCCCCCCTAGCTTACTCACTAATTTATTCTATCTCAGGGATTTTGGCCTAGCAATGAATGCGGGCACTTTAATAAACTACAAGCTACAATCGCCTAGCGCCTGGTGTGCCCCGGAACGGCTTCATAACACAGACCTAAGTGCTGCCAGCGACATGTGGAGCTACATGTGTGTTTTCACAGAGCTCTACCTTGGCACACTTCCCTGGTCCATCTACGATGATGCGCTGCCCAGCATAGTCAAAGTTATCGGTCCACTACCCCAAACTTGGTCCGGCTATTACCACTAACCCACCAGAACTGACGCTTCATGGTACGATCCGAGAAAGCAGCCTGAATCCACTCTTGAAACAATAATTGCACACGCCCGCCCTGACGTCAGTTCGACCGAGCGTGCTCACGTACTGTTCTTTATGCTAAAAGGATTCTCTTATAATCCTCAGCACCGCATGACTGCTGTGCAACTTTTGGACAATGCTTCATTTTGAGTCGTCATGGAATTATATTGTGCCTAATACTCTATTGGAGGTACCAATCTGCGTGGCAACCTTGCAAGAATTTGCGCTCCACAGCAGACACAAGGCTGATGATGACTTCCCAGCATCTTAGTGAGGGTTTGATGCTCGGATAAGTCCCTGTTATCAGTAATTAGAGTGGTAAGAGCTTAATAGTGGTTCTGTAAGGAGGGAAATCTATTACGCTATGAAAGAAGGCTCTCTACAAATTAGGCGCAAAAGCGAGGATGCGAACATAATTTTTAGGTGGGAGGGGTCCTAGATGTTTAGCAATAGCCACAGTACACGACTTGTATAGAACCATTGCAGATACCGACTTGTGCACGGAGTGTGAGTTGCTTAAAGTCAAAGTACCCCTCATATTTCTCAGCACGCAGGGATGGACGTTAGTAATTGGCTTTTTCAAGGCTTCTAAGAACGGCGAATCGATCCAGGATCGTGAATGCTCAACTAACAAGACCTCAGCGGCAGCCACGTGAAACAGCGATATCCCAGAGGATGCGCCAGATGTCGAGGTGAGTGAGGTGCAAGGGCCTGTGCATGAGACAGCTACAGCTAGCGACTGCACTAATCAAACACTGCCAACGAGGTCGCTATAGTCGGGTATGTAGACCAGACTTATGGGCCTTTAGATCAAATGAATCCATCAGAGTGTGCACAAGGTATGGGCCTTGACGAACTGTAAGGCATTGGCTGACAAGCGACACTAGATAACTCAATTCTCCTTGACAATGACGAAACCACTGATCAGCTATTCAACGAATTGTACACCTATGCGACCGACACGGAAGGTGAGGGGGATGAGTCGTCGGTCCAACCTCTGGGTAGGTCCGTCTAGCATTGAGGAAGATGAATATCGCTATGATGATGGCGATGATGGTGACTATGACATTGACGATTATAGTGACTATTGGATTCACCTGCATCACGTACACAACAGAGAACGGCAGTATGAGGAAGAGGGATGTTGAGAACGAGACATTTGTCTTGATCTCACTAAAGTAGATTCTTAATATAACAATACAATTTTCCCTTGACTTTTTAGCCAATATAGTAAATTATTGTACAATCGAACTAGTCAAGTGTGTCGAACGTGTCTCACGCGATACTATACCCTATGACCCCTACTCAGCTCATGCGAGAAAGTGTGACTTAGAAGGCATCTAAAAAGGCCTAATCTTAGCCTAAAAGAACTCAACCCTGCGTAAAAGAGCTATCTAACGTCCTTGTGCTGCTTGATTCTCTAAAGCTTCAACTGCTTTATAAGGCGATTAAAAGCCCTTATATTGCTAGAAGTAGTTCTATCCTAAGTTTAGCAAAGTACTAAATAATTAAGAGAGCTATATGTAACAATTCTCACGAATCGTTCCATCTCGGGTCGCTCGGATCCTATCCGAAGGGTCCCCGTATCGGCCCTGACCATGACTCGACCCTGTCCCCCGCAGTTACCCCTATTCACCCAAGTATTTAGTCGCACCTCTCCCCTTAGCTAGCTAGGTAGTTTTCTGATATCCTTCGTACAAGGCCTATAGGTGTTAATGGAAATTCCCAGGTTCTGAGTCCCCACGCACTCCCATATGCCTCTGAGTGGATTCCCACCGCATTCAGACCCATTGTCTTGCCTGTGCCGTTACACTATAGTTAAAAGCTTTTAAAAAACAGTAGAACCTTTAGCTTAGTTAGAGTAGATTATTTACTTGTTTAGACTGTTTACTTTTAAGATATGTTAGCTAACGTCCCCCCCTGCGTGGCGGAAAACCTACTGTGTTGGAAAATAAAACAAGTACTTTAACTTTAAGAGACTATAACTCTGCGCACAGGTTAGGCTTTACTAAAATTATATTTAATTAATGTACTGTAGCTATTTTAAAAGACCTAGGGCGCCTCTTACATATAAATTCTATTTATATTATTACCTTAACGCCTAATTTATAGAGAGCCTTGTTCTATAGCGTAATAGAGTTCCTTCCCTATAGCACTACTATTAAGCTCTTGCTACTCTATAGTACTTATAAACAGTCTTATTAAGCCTTAGAACCTTACTATAATGCTAAGAAGTTATTATTAGCCTTACGTCTACTATCGCGCACAGATTTATATAAGGCCGCTACCCTAGTCAGTACTTCTAATCAAACTAACTACTAATTTCAGCTAGTGTAAAACAACCCCGCACCTACATAATTATCGCGGTGTAATTTATTTGTGAAAGTTAAGCCTGTGGCTGTGCAGAGTCTTGGCGGGCGGGCTAACCTTAGCCTCGCAGCCTTGCCGTCCCCACTCAACCTTGGCCATGCCTCCGGTCAACCAACTCAACTCTCTGAAAACACCTACAGAATTCGCCACCTCACAAGGGTGTAGCCGGTGCGGTTCGGCCATCCTCCCTGTAGTGGTGGCGAGCTGAAGTATCTTATGCGTCAATTGTCTGCTTGTAAGTACCGCTAATTATACCACTTCTGAACAAGCCCTATTAATAAACCTATGAAATGATTTGCTTCAAAAGTCGCTTAACCTGATTGGTTTGCGGCACCATCAAGAAGGCAACAGTGGGACCGACACATTTAGGTACACTACCCCGCATTTGAAACTACAACTCAGAAGCATCCTTTCACTACAATAGACACCCACCTACCTCCACAATCATCTACAACGTATCCTTTTCATTTGTAGCTACACTTCTATTGGTTCTAGTAAGTAAAGACATGGAAAATAAGTGGTCATTTACGGTAGGCCAGTCGTTGTTGCTAAGATTATCTAACCTTAGTTAACAATATAATTAGAGGGTAAGTATTTGCCGCAAGATAATTAATATTGTACTAAGATACGATTTTTTAGGAAGTAAGTCAACCTGTGCATATTCACATGCAAGGCTGCTGCTAATGCTGGTGTGTCTGGTGGTGTAGGACGTAAGTTGACCTGCGAACACTAAGATGCGAAGCTGCTGCTAATGCTGGTGTGTCTGGTGGTGTAGCCTGTGAGTTGACCTGCGAACACTAAGATGCAAGGCTACTAATGCTAGCGTGTCTGGTGGTGTAGGACGCAAGTTAACCTGCGAACACTAAGATGCAAGGCTGCTGCTAATGATGGTGTGTCTGGTGGTGTAGGACGTAAGTTAACCTGCTAACACTAAGATGCGAGGCTGCTGCTAATGCTGGTGTGTCTGGTGGTGTAGCCTGTGAGTTGACCTGCGAACACTGAGATGCAAGGCTGCTGCTAATGCTAGTGTGTCTGGTGGTGTAGTACGTAAGTTGACCTGTGAACACTGAGATGTGAGGCTGCTGCTAATGCTGGTGTGTCTGGTGGTGTAGTTTGTAAGTTGACCTGCGAACACTAAGATGTAAACTGCTGCTAATGCTAGTGTGTCTGGTGGTGTAGGACGTAAGTTGACCTGCGAACACTAAGATCCAAGGCTGCTGCTAATACTGGTGTGTCTGGTGGTGTAGAACGTAAGTTAACCTGCGAACACTGATATACAAGGCTGCTGCTAATGCTGGTGTCTGGTGATTTAGCCTGTGGGTTGACCTGCGAACACTGAGATGCGAGGCTGCTGCTAATGCTGGTGTGTCTGGTGGTGTAGTTTGTAAGTTAACCTGCTAACACTAAGATGCAAG